CATAAGATAAGTTGCACCACGATTTTTTAATGCAAATGCATCATTTGATTCTATTTCGAGGGATTTAGTAAAGTCTGTAAGTGATTCATTATATCTTTTCATTATTCTATAAATTGATCCACGATGTTTTAATACAAATATATCATCTGGTTCTATTCCGAGAGATTTATTTAGGTCTTCAAGCGATTCATCGTATTGTTTCATCATTCCATAAATTACACCTCTATTTCCTAACGCAATTGCATTTGTTGGCACAATTTCTAATGATTTATTTGAATCTTCAAGCGATTTTTCATGTATTCCTATTATATAATAAATTCTTCCACGATATCCCCACGAGATAGCATTATTTGGTTCAATTTCTAATGATTTGTTTATATCTTCAAGTGATTTATCATATAATTTCATACAATAATAGGTTATACCACGTTGTTGTAATGCAAATACATTATTCGGTTCAATTATTAATGAATTATTTAGATCTTCAAGCGACTTGTTATAATCCTTTATTTTGCAATAAACCATTCCTCGACATCTCAATGCAAATGCATCATTTGGTTCAAATTCTAATGACTTATCTAAATCTATAAGTGAACATTGCCCGTACCCGTAGAATGGTTTTTTATTCATCATAAGTAAGGTTGCGCCACGATTTTTTAGTGCAAATGCATCATTTGGTTCTATTCCAAGAGATTCATTTAAGTCTGTAAGTGATTCATTATATCTTTTCATTATCCTATAAATTGATCCACGATTTTTTAACGCAAATGCATCATTTGGTTCTATTTCAAGAGATTTATTTAAGTCTGTAAGTGACTCATTATATCTTTTTATTATTCTATAAATTGATCCACGATGCTTTAATACAAATGCATCATTTGGTTTTATTTCAAGAGATTTATTTAAGTCTTCAAGCGATTCGTCGTATCGTTTCATCTTTCCATAAACTACACCCTTAGTTCCCAATGCAATTGCATTAGTTGGCTCAATTTTTAATGACTTATTTAAATCTTCAAGTGATTTTTCGTGTTCACCTATCATATAATAAGTTCTTCCACGATTTCCTAATGATATGGCGTTATTTGGCTCAATTTGCAATGAATTATTTAAATCATTAAGCGATTCCTCATATTTCTTAACTTTATAATAATATATTCCACGATATCTTAATGCAAATGCATTTTTAGGTTCAAGTTCTAGTGACTTATTTAAATCTACAAGTGATTTCTCGTAGTATTGTTCTTTATCCATCATAAGATAAGTTGCACCACGATTTTTTAATGCAAATGCATCATTTGATTCTATTTCGAGGGATTTAGTAAAGTCTGCAAGTGATTCATTATATCTTTCCATTATTCTATAAATTGATCCACGATGTTTTAATACAAATGCATCATTTGGTTCTATTTCGAGAGATTCATTTAGGTCTCTAAGCGATTCGTCGTATCGTTTCATATTTCCGTAAATTACACCTCTAGTTCCTAATGCAATTGCATTTGTTGGCTCGATTTTTAATGACTTAATTGACTCCTCAAGCGATTTATGATGTTTCTCTATCATATAATAGGTTCTTCCGCGATATCCTCGCGAGATAGCATTATTTGGTTCAATTTCTAATGATTTATTTAAATCTTCAAGTGACTTTTCATATTTTCCAATTATACAATAAGTTCTTCCACGGTTTCCTAATGAGATAATATTATTTGGCTCAATTTTTAATGAATTATCGAAATCATTAAGTGACGCTTCATATTTCTTAACTTTACAATAATATATTCCACGATATCTTAATGCAAATGCATCGTTTGGTTCAAGTTCTAGTGATTTATTTAAATCTGAGAGTGATCTCTCGTAGAATTGTTCTTTATTCATCATAAGATAGGTTGCACCACGATTTTTTAATGCAAATGCGTCATTTGGTTCTATATCAAGAGAACAAGTTAAGTCTGTAAGTGATTTATTATATTTTTTCATTATTCTATAAATTGATCCACGATGTTTTAATACAAATGCATCATATGGTTCTATTTCAAGAGATTTATTTAAATCTTCAAGAGATTTATTGTATCGTTTCATCTTTCCATAAATCGCACCGCGACTTCCTAATGCAATTGCGTTTGTTGGAACATTTTCTAATGACTTATTTGAGTCTTCAAGTGATTTTTCATGTTCTCCCATCATATAATAAGTTCTTCCACGATAACCCAGCGAGATGGCACTGTAGTCTACCCTGTAAAAATTGCTATACATTATAGGTTTAAAGAGTCTATTCATATCATAGTTAAGTATGTTATATATCTGTTTTGACAGGTTATCAGGGTGAACTGTATTTTCAATTTTTAATGATTCATTTAAATCTTTAAGTGATTTATCATATAATTTCATACAATGATAAGTTATACCACGCAATTGTAAAGTAAATGAATTATTCGGTTCAATTGTTAGTGAATTATTTAAATCATTAAGCGATTCCTCATATTTCTTAACTTTACGATAATATATTCCACGATGTCTTAACGCAAATGCATCATTTGGTACAAATTTTAGGGACTCATTTAAATCTGAGAGTGATTTCTCGTAAAATTGTTCTTTATTCATCATGAGATAAGTCGCACCACGATTTTTTAATGCAAATGCATCATTTGATTCTATTTCAAGAGATTTGTTTAAGTCTTTAAGTGATTCACTATATCTTTTCATTATTCTATAAATTGATCCGCGATGTTTTAATGCTAATGCATCATTTGGTTCTATTTCGAGAGATTTATTTAAGTCTTCAAGCGATTCGCCGTACCGTTTCATTGTTTCGTAAATTGCACCTCTAGTTCCTAATGCAATTGCGTTTGTTGGCTCAATTTCCAATAACCAGTTTGAATCTTCGAGCGATTTTTTATGTTTGCTTATCAAATAATAAATTCTTCCACGATTTTCTAATGAGATAATGTTATTCGGTTCAATTTGTAATGAATTATTTAAATCATTAAGCGACTCATCATATTTCTTAACTTTATGATAATATATTCCACGATATCTTAATGCAAATGCATCATTAGGTTCAAGTTCTATTGATTTATTTAAATCTATAAATGATTTCTCGTAGTATTGTTCTTTATCCATCATAAGATAAGTTGCACCACGATTTTTCAATGCAAATGCATCATCATTTGGTTCTATTATTATAGACTTATTTAAACTTGTAAGTGATTCATTATATCTTTTCATTACTCTATAAATTGATCCACGATGTTTTAATATAAATGCGTCATTTGGTTCTATTTCGAGAGATTTATTCAAATTTCTAAGCGATTCGTCGTATCGTTTCAACTGTTCGTAAATTACACCGCGATTTCCTAATGCAATTGCATTGGTTGGCTCAATTTCTAATGACTTATTTGAATCTTCAAGTGATTTTTCATGCTCTCCTATCATATAATAAGTCCTTCCACGATTTCCTAGCGAGATAGCATTATTTGGTTCAATTTGTAATGAATTATTTAGATCATTAAGCGACTCCTCATATTTCTTAACTTTATAATAATATATTCCACGATATCTTAATGAAAAAGCATCATTTGGTTCAATTTCTAGTGACTTATTTAAATCTACAAGTGATTTCTCATAGAATGGTTCTTTATCCATCATAAGATAAGTTGCACCACGATTTTTTATTGCAAATGCATCATTTGGTTCTATTTTGAGAGATTCATTTAAGTCAACAAGTGATTCATCATACTTCTTCAATATACTATATATTGCACCTCTATTTTTTAACGCAAATAAATTCTTTGGATCTATTTCAAGAGATTTATTTAAATTCGAGAGTGATTCATCAAATCTTTTCATTATACAATATATTTCCTCTCGCATTTGTAATGCAGATACATAATTTGGCTCGATCTTTAAAGATTCATTTAGGTCTTTAAGTGATTCTTCATACCTTTTAACTTTAAAATAAGTAATTCCGCGGAAATTTAAGGCCCACGCATTAGTTGGTTCAATTTCTAATGATTTGTTTAAATCTATTAATGATTCTACATATCTTTCCATCATATGATAAGTTTCTCCACGTTGCCTTAATGCACATGCATCATTTGGATCAATTTCTAAAGATTTACATAAATCTCTAAGTGATTCTTTATATTTGTTCATGTTTAAATAAGTTGCTCCACGTTGTTTTAATGCCCAAATATTATCTGGATCTATTTCTAATAAGTTGTTAAAAACATTAAGCAATATATCATAATGCCCGTCCATCACAGGAGAATGCCGACTATCTCTATGCAATCTATTGATTCTAAGTCTCGGATAGTTTCTTATAAATATTGTTTCTCCTGGAAGGATTAGTTGTTTATGTAAGCATAAAATAAAATTAACAATCCGGTGACTTTTAAAAAAAATAGAATCAAAAATCCGATTTAATAAACTGATTCTCTTGTTGAACATAATACAGTCATAGTAAATTTGAATTGAGTGTTTATAACTTTTAAGTGGAACATTAGCAAAAAGAAAAAGAATACAATATAGATTTATTCTTCTATTCAAAATATAAAGTTCAAGTTTCTTTAATTGATTATTAGCTTGGTGAATCAGAGCAAGATCTTCTAACGTATAAAGTGGGATTTTCAAATATTCAAGATTTATAGCACGACGTGCAATAGTTTCGATGAGCTGAGTGATATCAATATGGTCATCAGAGTGCCAGTCAAGTATGATTTTTTTAAGTGTATCGCAGCTCTCCTCAATAAGGCTAGATAATAACTTTATAGGAGTTGTACGGTCATTAATTTTATAAGTTCCATATGAATATTCTAAAGATATCAAGTTTGTAAAAGTATAACTAATAGGAAGAAATAAAGGAGAGTTTAGTCCTTCACAATGTTTAAATTTCACTTTGTTGATATTCGTACACTGAGCAAGTGCATTGATAGCATCATTATTTAATTCACAAATTGTATAATTAAAAAATTCCTTATCACATAAGTTACGATTTTCATGCATGTCTTCAAATGTCACACTGTTAAGCCATTTCTGATCCACAAGAGCTTGTATGGGAAATGACGCAAAAATATTGCTGTTTATCAGAGAGAACTTTTTTAAATGCTTTTGAGAACGAATAAGATTTGCTAATGCTATTCCTTCATCCTCATGCCAAACGCTGACCTTAATTTTTTTAATATAACGGCAATTGTTTGCTATTGAATTAAAAAGTTGAGCTTTTTGCACTGGCCATTGATAACTACAATTAAAATAAGTCAGACTACTAAATATAGATGTGCACTCAGAAAAATGAGGAAGGACCAAAGATGCTACTCTATTATTACGGTTAAAATATTGACTAAATAGATGGTCATATATTTTAAATCTACGTAATTTCGTATCTCGGATTGATAATATTTTTAATAATTCAATTATAGTATATTTACTACAATTGTTCGTTACGGCTGCAGTAATAAATCGATCATATGAGAACTCTTTAAGGAATGATGGATAGTCAAACAAAGGTGCTTTGTTAATCGATAACTTTTCATTCGAATTTGTAGTAGTCCTATCCGGTATAAATGCAAGATAGGTTTGAATTACTTTAGGAGACGGAGTAAAACTGTCACTAATTCCGAAGGGTGCCTCCCATAAAATCGGAACGGCACAAGCAGCCCAATATTTATTAACCAAAAGGCAAGAGTGTAAATCTTTGTCAGTTGGAAGTGATCTAAAGATCGTCTCAAAATGTTCTGGTGAAAAATTCTGATCCATTATATAAATTTGGTAGTTGCGTTATGTAGCAGGGAACGTGAATGTACGTGCTTAAATATTTATCAAATGTAAAGTCCTAAAAAAAATTTATCATGCACTTTATAATAATTTATAAATGAGAATATTGTTTCTGTTGAAGAGTTTACTTTTCCAAGTCGCCGAATTTAAATATAAGTGTATTTGATATTGTGGATAAATGATGGAATTAACATTTTTGTGGCTGTACTACCTCATTGAACCTAGGGTTGTACCGGTACTATGTAAATAATATATGATAATTATCGTTTTTAAAATTTAATCTATACTATTAAAGCTCTAATGTGTGCCTGTTCGCTTTAATTGATCAGATTTTAAAACTCAATACGATATATTTTTGTTTCTATAAAAACATTCTGATTGATACAAACATGTTAGTACTACCAAGAGTAAACCTACAACATAATATATATTTGATATTTACACGCGTACATGCCAAATATGTACATACAATGAAGAACTCAAAAAAATCACAACCATTTATTATAGAGACAAAGTATAAACATTGAAGTTATAGCGCTTTGCAAAAAGATGTGATCCCATTATTTTTGAGATGATGATCGAGGGAAATTTCCGAGGTTCTAGATTGTCTATTAATCAATTATATTTTATAACGTATCTCTATATTTGTACCTTAGAACCGGAAATCGCTAGATTTTTGCAAGTATCACTATATAATGTTAATGTTTATTAATACTGTTACGTTGCAATAAATCAATCTCTGCAACAATTAGAATTAATATTTCATAAATTATTTACTTCATTAAAGTATTTACATACACAATTTATTATATTAGTAATTTAGGAAATATAGGTATCCAAAATATGCTACTATCGAAAATATGCTACTCCTTGTTTTAAACAAATTTTATAAAAAAAATTCGCCAACTTTTGCTGTATATAAAAATCAGAATCTTACTAAATAATTGCTTTCTGTTCCTGAGTAAAGTTATTCATGAAATTTGGGCAATAACTAAGTTTCAAAAATAAGTTACGTACAGTACGTACCGACATTTTTGTGTAACAAAATTGCCAAAATTGGTAGCTCATAGTAATGTTGTATCACTAAAATCAAAAATTCCGCCCATATTTTGGTTATTTTTTGGTTACTTTACTCATGAACAGCGTATAAAAACTGATAAGTAACTAATAAGCAATTTATAAGCAATTTTGCAATCACTGGCAAATAATCACTTATAATCTTAGCAATCACATTATATCATATATATTATTGGCTCAAATTCTATGTAATCTAAACTATCTAATCACAAAAATTAAAGATTTCCGCCCATATGTTATTTTCAGACATATATACATACCGATACGTTGGGGTATGCGATATACTATTTAAATCAAACATATATATAGTCGCATAATGAAGATTTTTCGTGTAACCTAAAAATCAATCTTTTAAATGCCGTCAAACTCCGTAAATATAGTATCAAGAATTTTTATTGGCATTATGATAAAATTTGCTTAAAAATGTAACTTATCGCTCAATTTTAGAGATAGAGTTGTAAAATTTATATAAAACTCTTGTCAATAAATTACTTAATAATATAA